GTGAGAGAGAGACTTTCTCAAAGTTTGACCGCTTTGGCCCAAGCCTGGTAGAGCAGAGGGGTTAAAGGTAGCGGCAAGCAGACCTGACCTGAGGTGAAAGGCTCAAATACAGATGGCCTCTGCTCAGTGGGTGTGAGTCAGAACCTACTTGACTTCATAGGAAGTGTCCATCTGTGTAGTCTGGTGACATCACAGCAATTTAGGGGTGCTAACTGGAAGCTTGAGGCACCCCCCAACAAGGTCTGGTCTCTCCCAGCTCCCTGTATCCTGCCTTCATGAAAACCAGAGATCAGAAATGAGACCCTGGGGAGTTAGGATTAGATAGGAGGGGTGAGTCTGATGGATGGGAGGCAGTTTGGTCTGAAAGCTCCCCTCCCCCATCAACCACAGGGAACACCTGCTGCGGGTTTGATCTGGGCTCTGTCTGTGGGTGCCAAACCTGGGGAGGAGGTGCTCCCTCAGACCAAGAAGCGAAGATGGTGGAGGGGGCACTTATTTGCATAATCATTTCCATTAGCTGCGTCTGAGCAACTGGCAAGGTTGCTTTTAAAAGGCTCGGAGCTTTCGGGAAGCCAGGTGTTCCTGTGGCGGTAAGATGATGCGGGCGGGTAAAGCGCTTGCCTGCCAGCCTGGAGACCCACTGGTGGAAAGAGAACCAACTCCAGCCAAGCTCTTCTGTGGTACAAGTGCCCACACACCTAGGAAAACCACACAAATAAAAATTTGAAAATGCATTAACTTTTTAAAATTTTTTTTTTGAGACAAGGTCTCATTGTGTAGTTCTGGCTGGTTTGGAAGTCACTATATAGCCATAGCCCAGGCTGGCCTCGAACTCACAGAGATAAACCTGCTTCTGTTTCCCAAGTGCAGGAATTAAAGGTGTGCGCCAGCATGCTCAGTTTCTGTCCTTTTTTTTTTTTTTTTCTTCAATTTTTGAGGCAAGATCTGAACGTGAACTCTGTATGTAGCCCAGGCTGGCCTCAGCCTCACAACCCTTCTTCCTCAGTCTCCTCAGTCCCGGGATCACAGAGTGCCAGCCATTTTCAGTTCCGCTGTTTTTGTGTAATGACGGTGGGGCCTTACTGGGAACCATGTCCCTGCTTCCCCCACTGCCCACGCCTCGCTGGGATTGAACACAAAATCCCACCCTTTCTAGTCTCTCGGGTCCAAGAACACATCTGGTGCAGACGTGGCAGACTGATCTCCACCCAGACCTTCCCCTCCATCCACTCTTCCGTTGCAAATGGGCACCAAGCCCATGGCTGGCTGAGAGAGACGTCTTCAGCCTTGGAGCCGCCAAGACCGACATCTGGAAGGTTTCTCTGCAGCCCCGGGCCTGTCTCCCCAAACTGGGACTGGGATGACCCAGTAGAGAGTCATCTCCAGCCAGTTCCTCCCACCGAAAAAATAGAAAGCAGGGCAGGAGGGCTGGGAGCCGCACAGAGGATGGAAAACAGGCTCAGGCCTCATGATTTGGAGGAGTTCGTGATAGCTGAGCCTGGGATGGGACTTTAGAAGTCACGTAATTCCCAACATGTGACTTACTGGGGAGAATGCCCGACAAAAGTGACTTAAGGAAGCCTTTGTCTTGGCTCCCAGCAGGAGGGTGCATCTGTAGTGGTGGTGGATAAGGTACCATGGCAGGGGCTTGAGGAAACCACAGTCAGGGAGCAAAGACAGGAGAGCTATGTGCTCAGCTTGGTTTCTTTTCATTCAGTTCAGAGTCTCAGCCAAATGATGGTGACACCAACATTTAGGGCAGGTCTTCCCTCCTCAATTAATCCAGCCTAGAAACCTCACAGCCGAGCCCAGAGGTTTGTCTCCTGAGTGATCCTGATTAATCGCCAGCCGGGTGTGGTGGTGCACACCTTAAATCCTAGCACTGGGAAGCAGAGGCAGGCCCATCTTTAAGCGTTCAAGCCCAACTTGGTCTCCACATATTTTGTAACAGTTTCCTCTGAGATTGAAACAGCCCATCTTGCAGGAAGCACCATAAATGGGAAGATAAACAACTCACAACAGCTTCAGGACGTCCCTGAAACTGACAAGATTCACCAGGCCCCCTCCTTTCCAGGTACTAAAAACTCAGACAAAGTGAAACTGACCTGCAAAGAAGACTTGAGGTCAGAACAGCCGCAGGGGAGAAGCAGAAACCATCCCAGCTGCCTAGAAGAGGTCTAGGCCACCTGGGCACCTGGAAAGGACGCTCTCCAACCTGTGCAGCTGCCTGCAGGCTGTGCAGGGTGCTCCAGGTTCCCAGCTGTGTGTGCTGGGGTGGGTCTTGGTGACGCAGCTGTTTTGGAGTCATTTCTGTTCCTGTAAGTAACCCCTCACCCATATACCTCTAAATATCCCCAATAAAACTCACTGGTACACGAAGTTGGATTTTGGTGGTATCTGGTTTTGGTCTGTTTTGTACTCCCTGTCTGGGGTGAGTGATGTGTGTGTTGCATCTCCCAGGGAACGTTTTCACTAAGCAACATAGTGTCAGGACAGCCAAAGCTACATAATGAAACCCTGTCTCTAAATAAATACATACGTTTATTAGCCATAAAACTTAGTTTATGAAGAACATCCCATAGTTTCTTTGTGACCTCATGTGGTCCTGAGTATTAAACCCTGCCCTCCTATTACATCTCCCTGGAGAGAGGGACAGGAGCCACCAAATGAGACCTGGGTGAGGAAGCAAGGTAAACGGGAGGACAGCCAGTTAGGGATGGTGAATTAGAGAAAATCCCGTGGCTCCAACACCTCTGTGTAACCCACTGTATTGTTCTGTGTGAGGTTAGTGTAACAGGTTATCTAGGGCAGGATGACTTTTCTTTTCAGTGCTAGAGACCAAACATAGGGCCTTGTTCATTCAATGCAGATGCTCTTCCATATAAGAAAGGAGTTCATTCTGGCTCATGGTCAGGGTGAAAGCCAGGCTCTCCATGGGATAATGGCCTTCTCTTCTTCTATTTTTTTTTAAAGATTCATTTTATATTATAAATATCTGCCTACATGTCTCTATGTGCACCGTGTATGTGCCTGGTTCCCACAGAGACCAAAAGACAGCATCAGATCTCCTGGATCTGGAGTTACAGATGAACCTGGGTCTTCTACAAAGCCAGAATTTGTGTGTGTGTGTGTGTGTGTGTGTGTGTGTGTGTGTTTGCCACAGCGTATGTAGCTGTCAAGGGCAGTTGGCAGTAATAAGTTCTGTCCTTCCCCTATGTGGGTCCCAGAGTCTTGAGTAGCTGTCTGACTTGGCCACAAACTCCGTACCTGCTCAACCATCTTGTCAGCCCCTTATTATTTTACTTTTCTGAGATAGGATCTCCTATGTAGCTAGCCTGGGACCCACCTCACAGTCATTCTTCAGCCTCCCAAGTACAGGAATTGCAGAATGATGGAGTCCTAGCAAATGGGGACCTGGCTGTGAGAGACAGGAATGTGCGCCATTCTACTGGTTGCTCTTCTTCCTCCTCTTGCTTCATTTTTTTTTTTAAAAATATTTATTTATTTATTATGTACACAACATTCTGTCTGCGTGTATGCCTGCAGACCAGAAGAGGGCACCAGACCTCATTACAGATGGTTGTGAGCCACCATGTGGTTGCTGGGAATTGACCTTTGGAAGAGCATGCAGTGCTCTTAACCGCTGAGCCATCTCTCCAGCCCTTGCTTCATTTTTTTAAACCTTCATATGGCAGGTAATTCCCAGGCATTAACACAAGTTAGGCTTTTGCTCACAGCTAAGCCACACACAAGGGGCTGGAGAGATGGCTCAGAGGTTAAGAGCACTGACAGCTAAGCCCCTCACTGGGGGATTCTAGGCAGGGCCTCTGCCTGGAGCTCTCACTGGGAGAGTCTAGTCAGTTCTACTGCTGAGATATTTGCTCTGCTTCTCTCCTTTCATAAAGCCACTCCAATTCACTCATGGGGACTCTACCCTAACATAGTCTCTAATCCTAGTCACCACCCACCAGTCACACCTATACCTCAGTAGGATTGTCTACTCTTTTGACACAATCCCAAAAGTTTTCACAATGAACCCCTGAAAGATTCACCCAAACATATCCGAACCACATAATTCAAAATTTCATTTTATTTATTATTATTTTCAGTGTGTGCATGTGAGCCACATGCAGGCACACGCCTGTCACAGGGCACATGTGGGTCAGTGCACAGCTTGTGTTTCTCTCCTTCCACCATCTTGGTTTTGGGAATGGAAGTCAGGCCATCAGGCTTAAAGTAAGTAAGCATGAGGATTAAATGCTTTACCAGGTGCGCCATGTTGCTAGCTCAGTTTTCCTTATCTTTTTTTAAAAATATTTATTCATTTATTATGCATACAATATCTGCCTACATGTGTGCCTGCAGGCCAGAGAGGGCACCAGATCTCATTACAGATGGTTGTGAGCCACCCTATGGTTCCTGGGAATTGAACCCAGGACCTTTGGAAGAGCAGGCAATGCTCTTAACCTCTGAGCCATCTCTCCAGCCCCCAGTTTTCCTCATCTTCAAAGGGGAGTGATAACCAAAAATGGGGGAGAGCCGGGCGGTGGTGCACACCTTTAATCCCAGTACCTCAGTGGTAGAGACAGGCAGATCTGTGAGTTCAAGGCCAGCCTGGTCTATGGAGTGAGTTCCAGGACATCTAGGGCTGTTAATGGAGAAGCCCTGTCTTGAAAAACAAAAACAAAAAAGTAGGTGGGGATGGGCAGAATGGGGTTTGACAAAGCTGAGTGAGCTGGCTCAGGCCTAACCACCTTTGGGGAGGCAAAGGCAGGTGGATCTCTGTGAGTTCAATGTCAGCTTGATCTACATAGAGAGTTCCAGAATAGCCAGGGTTATGTAGAGAGACCCTGTCTCAAAAATAAAATTAGGTCCCGGGAGGTGGTGGCGCATGCTTTTAATATTAGTACTTGGGAGGCAGGAGCAAGCGGATCTTTATGAGTTCGAGGCCAGCCTGATCTACAGCGTGAGTACCAACCAGGACAGGCTCCAAAGCTACACAGAGAAACCCCGTCTCGAAAAATCAAAAAAGAAAAATAAATAAATTAAAATAAAATTAGGGAAAGACAAGAATAAGACCCCTTTATCTGGGCACTCGACCTGCCTTCCCAAGTAGCAGGAGGATTGTGTGTTTGAGGCCAGCCTAGGAAGAGCTTGTCTCCAAAAACACAAAGGCAAACAAAACAAAACAAAACACATGGACTGGAGAGATGCTCAGGGGTTAAGGGTACTGGCTACTCTCAGAGAGGACCAGGGTTCAGGTTGCAGTACCCACGTGGTAGCTCAAAGTCACCTGTAATTCCAGTTCTGGGGATCCCCACCCTGTCTTCTGGCCTCAGTGGGCAACAAACACTAAGATGATACATAGACATGCAAGCAGGTAAAATTTATAGCAGGCAGGCTAGGGATATGTCTCAGTGGGTAAGTGCTTGAACCTGTGGTTTCAATACTCAGCTCCCCATAAACAGGGCTTGGTGGGGCACACCAGTGATCCCAGCACTCAGGAGGTGGAGGCAGAAGGATCAGGAATTGAATGTCATCCTTTGATACCTAACAACCTACCTCCTAATACTGTTGGTGCCGGCTTAGTAGAAGCTTCTGGAAGCTCTTCTTGGTTTCTGTTTCCCGTCTGAAAGGTCTCCATGGACAGAGTCCCGCTTACTTCCTTTTCCTTCACTCTGGCCCCTGGAAAAGGCCCAGCTCCCTCTCTGACCTTCTTAAACTACCCGGAAGTTCAGTCCTCAAGTCTCTTCCTGATGACTTGTGTGAGACCTTGAGTTACCCACAGGTCACGTGGAAGATGGGTAAGGTGACCAGAGAAATGGCTGCCTTTCCCTGGGGATATCACCTTTGTCTGAAAGTCTACAACCAGCCAGCCAGGTATGTCCTCTGCCTTGACACACACACCACCCCACCCCCATCCCCATCTCTAGGGAGTTAGTAGATTGCTGAGCCTGCTGAAACAGTATGGTTGGGGGGGGTACTTCCTCCCTGCTGTAGGTTCCTGCAAAGTATGACATATCGGTTCAAATTGCTTTCTCCAAGGACAGGACCCAGGCTGTTTATTTCTTGCATAACTCTCCCCTCTGATTAACACCTGGATTCTAGATCCTCTCCTGGCAACACGTCTGCATTGGCAGAGGATACACATGATGCACTTGTTCATGTAGATGGACATGTGCACAACTGTCACCTGACCTTCATGCATGCCGTAGCACATGCTTGCTAGAGCACATTTACCCACATACACACACAAAACAAAAAATAGATAAAATTTAAAAAGAGAGTTTAACTTTTCTTGTTTTGTTTTTCTTATCTTTCATCCTTGTTTGAGACACGTTTTTCTTTGTAGCCCTGGCTGTACTAGAACTCACTCTGTAGACCAGGCTGTCCTCAGACTCAGAGGTCCACTTGCCTCTGTCTCCTGAATTTTGAGATTAAAGGCGTGAGCCCCCACCTTCTGGCTCATCTTGTTTTCTTTTTCTTTTTTTCAACATTTATGAATGTTTTTATTAATGTTTTGCCCACATGTTTGTCTGTGTATTGCATACATTCCTGGTGCCAGCAGAGACCAGAAAAGGTTATCATATCTAGAACTAGAGTTATGGAAAGTTGTGAACTGATAAGTGGGTGCTGGGAACTGAACCTGTGTTCTATATACGACCAGCAAGTTTTCTTAACCCCTGAGCCATCTTCCCAGTCAGTCCCCTGTTTTTGTTTGAGACAGGGTCTTTTGTATCCCAGAATGATTCTTCTGCCCCCATCTCCTGAGTACTGCACCAAGACTGGCTTTTACACACACACACACACACACACACACACACACACACACTCTTTCATGATCTTGCTGTGTATTGCAAGCTGACCTCAAATCCATGATCCTTCTGCTTCTGCCTCCTTGAATGTTGGAGTTTCTGGGGTAAGATAACACATTAGACTTGGAACTCACTCGGGGCAAGGATTAAAGTCTAGAACCTTCCAGGACAGCCAGGGTTACATAGAAAAACTCTGTTTCAAAATATCAATCAATCAATAAAAATAAAGTCTAGAAGCACTAACTCTTTGACTTTTTTTTCTCTCAACTGGAAGATTCTAGGCAGATGCTCCCCCACTGAGCCTTGTTGCTAGCACCTTACTGGAGGATCCACACTATCATCTGGGGTTGTCCTTGTGTGGTTAGAAGTCTTATGACTGAGATCTCATGAATGCAGCTTCCCTGGCATATATGGCTGACACTATCTCTCAGTAGATGTCCTGGTTTTCCGACTCTCACAGTCTTCCCACTCCCTCTCTCCAGTGTCCCCAGAGCTTTGGAGGTGGAGATTGTGCTGTCGATACCTGAATTGGGGCTGGCACTCTGAGGGCAGCTGTTCTCTGCACTTAGACCAGCTGTGGTTTTCTGTGACGGTCTCTGCCAACGGCAAGAAGCAGCTTCTTTGGAAAGAGGTGAGGTATTCTCTGTGGGTAGAAGGCCAAGTGTTTAGAAAGCTGTTAGGGCTGGGCGGTGGTGGCACACTCCTTTAGTCCCAGCACTCAAGAGGCAGAGGCAGGTGGGTCTCTGTGAGTTCGAGGCCAGCTCTGGTCTAAAGAGTGAATTCCAAGACAGCCGGGGGCCACACAGAGAAATCTGTCTCAAACAAACAAAAACAAAACAAACCACAAAAGAAAGGAGTTAGAAATGATACTGAATTAGGAGACTGTTAGCAGTCGGTCCTCTAGGGTCTGTGACCTCAGCAAACCCAGGTGATAGGCTAGGTTTTATACCAGGTGAATTTTCTCCTGTTGAGTGATCCTTAAATACAATTAAATGGCTACTGTTTACCTCTGCCGCTACTGCACCTACAGGAGATCTTGGGGATCCCCTCGTTGCTGTGGCTCAGAGGCTTCACTGCTGGGGAGGACTCTTGATTGCACATCAATCCCTGCACTGTGAGAGCCAGCCCTCGGGGAGGAGGCTTTTAGGTCAGTTCCAGCTTGATTCCTTCAAGTTCTGCCTGAAATGTAGCTTACAATAGGGACTTGTCTTCATGATCTGGGCAGCAACCAAAGGCTATGGCAGTAGCCTGTAAAGTTTTGGGTATCTTGGACTCCCCTGACCAACAATTTGAAGGAAGATTTCCCACACCTGGCACTGTTTTTTAAATTTAATTTAATTTAATTTTTAGTCTATGACTTTTGGGGGGAACATTGTCACCCCAAGTGCTGTAATTACATTTAAACCATATACATACATATATAAACACACATAATTGTAAGTAAACATAAAATAGTATGATTCTCTATGGCTTTTTCAAACATTCTTAGGGTATTTATCCTCCTCCTCCCTCTTCTGTGTTGTCCTCTCTCCCATTCCCTTGGTAAGTATCTCCCAATACTGTTTTTCTTAATATTCATTTCTTTATTGTTTATTTTTGTGATGCTTTGGATAGAACTCAGGGCTTCTCATATCCTAAATCAGCTTTACCCCAGCTCTTTCATTGTTCATTAAAACATTCTTACTGGGGGCTGGAGAGATGGCTCAGTGGTTAAGAGCATTGCCTGTTCTTCTGAAGGTCCTGAGTTCAATTCCCAGCAACCACATGGTGGCTCACAACCATCTGTAATAAGGTCTGGTGCCCTCTCTGGTCTGAAGGCATACACGTAGACAGAATATTGTATACATAATAAATAAGCAAAAATTTTTAAAAAATAAAATAAAATATTCTTACTATAGCAAAACCCTGTGTCAAAACCTTACATAAAATGGATACTCAATTTTTTAAACACATTTATGTGTATGTGAGTATGTGCTGGTGCCCTCTGACATCAGAAGAGCGCACCGAGTTCCCTGGGATTAGAACCATAGGTGGCTATGGTCTTCCTGGTGTAAGTACTGAGCACTGAACTCAGGTCTTCTATAAAACCAGCAAGTGTTCTTAAGCACCAAGCTCTCTCTTCAGTTTTAGGATGCTCACTTTGTTAAATGACAATATATGAACACTGTTACTAGGTCTGGTGGGTTGCTCAGTGGATCCTACGTTCCATTCCCAGCACTGCAGAAAAGCTATTGATTTATGTTTATTTTTAATCATGATTGCTGCAGATATTTTGCAACTAGGAGTCTGATTAGTACTTGCTTTTTGTCTTTTATGATTTCATAATTTTCTTTGTCTTTGTCATTAAATTTTTTTTACATTCACTTATTTATGCATGTGTGCATGCCCACATATGTACCATGGTGTGATGGTGGAGGATAGCTTCCAGGAGCTGGTTCTTTTCTTCAACCACGTGGGTCCTGGGGATCAAACTCAAGTCGTCTGGTTTGGTCACAAGCACCTTTACCTTTGAGTCATCTTGTCAGCCCACATGTGTAAAGTTTGGAGTTACAGAGGTGGCCATGAAAAGGTCCTCTAGTGTCCTCAGGCGAAGTGGCTCCTTCTCTGCTGGTTTCCCTGTCCTTAGCTTCCGTCCTGGGGCAACAAGCGTGACAAGTGTCTGCTGCATTTTCCCTTGCATGAGTTCACAGGCAAATGTGGGTGTATTTATACCATCCTTGTAAGTCCCCTCAGGGGTGAGGAGAAACAATGCGGATTAGTCTGCAGTCTCGTCCCCCACCCCCACCCCCGTCCCCGTCCCCCCCACCCCATCATCCCCCATGCCAGTTTCACTTCACTATTTATGCGCCAGTCTCTGTGAGGATGAAAGCGAGCCCCCCCCACCGCACAGCACGTGCCAAGCACCCTGCTGAGCTACACTTAACCTGCCTCCTGATTAAAAACAAAACAAAACATCTTTATTGATTGAATGTTTTGAAAGATTTGGTTTTTATTCTGTGTATAAATGTCTTGCATGCATGTATGTGTATGCGCCATGTATGTGCAAGTGTCCTTGCAGGCCAGAAGAGGGCATGAGCTTCCGTGGAATGGGAGTTGTAGGCAATTGTGAGCTGTCATGTGGATGCTGGGAATTGAACTAAGTTCATCAGCCAGGGCTTTCAATGGCTGAGCGATCTCTCTAGCCCTTCTTTTTTCTCCCTCTTTCTCTCTGTCTCCCCTTAGTGTGTGTGGAGGTCAGAGAATAACTTGGAGGAGTGATTCTCTCCTTCTGCCATATGAGTCCTGGGGCTAGAACTCAGGTTGTCAAGATCGGCAGCCATCAAGGCAGCCCTAATTATTTTTTTGAGACAGGGACTGATGGTGCCCGCCTAATGGGTTTGTAGCCTAGGATGAACTCCTGACCCTCCTCTCTGCTTCCTGAGTGCTGGGATGACAGGCAGCCAAGTCCAGCTTCAGATCCTTCCTACTGAAGCTTGGGAGTGGAACTTCCCATCCTCTCCTGAGTACCAGGCTGCCTTCAATTCGTTAGCTTAATTTGTTGCTGGAATATAACATGTATGCACTTGTCAGCAGGGCCAGCAAGCACAAAGGACTTCCATAATGCAGGCAGAATTGACTTCCTCCCTTCCTAGCTTCAGTCTCTCAGTTCCTCTTCCAGGAAATTGAATACTTTCTTTTTCCTGTACAGTTGTGGACTCTTCCCACTTACACTCTTACACAAATCACAGGTCCATGGGCACAGGGAGTGCCACACTGCTCACCGACCTGCTTTCAGCCTTTAGCTTTTGAAGCACTGGAGTATTCAGATGGCAACTGCACAGACTCTTTCACTTGTACAAGTGGTACCTCTTTATTTTATTTCATTTTGTCCTATTTTCCATGCTGGGGACATAATCCAGGGTTTTATGCATTGTAGGGAGGGCTCCAGCCCTGAGCCACACCTCCATGTCTACCACCCTATTAAAAGTCTTAGTCAATCTAGCAAGTCCTGAACACCACAACTTGCCACCTAACAGAAGATGACCTTGAACTCCTGATCCCCCTGCCTCCACCTACTGAAGTGCTGGGACTATAAAGACTTGCACACAGGTCACCACTTATTTATTTTTTGTGGTGCTGGAGATGGAACATAGGGTCCTGTGTATGAGAGGCAAGACTGTAACACTGAGCCACATGCCTCCACAATGGTTGGGTTTTTGTTCTTGTTGTTTATTTTGGTTTAGAGTTTTTTTCTTTTTTGGTTTTTCGAGACTGGGTTTCTCTGTGTAGCCGCCCAGGCTGTCCTGGCTGGAACTTGCTTTGTAGACCGGGCTGACCTCAAACTCCCAGAGAGCCACCTGCCTCTGCCTTCTGAGTGCTGGGATTAAAAGTGTGCATCACAGCCAGGTAGTGCTCATGTGCCTTTAATCCCAGCACTCGGGAGGCAGAAGAAGCAGGTGGATCTCAGTGAGTTCCAGGCCAACCTGGTCTACAAAATGAGTTCCAGGACAGCCAAAACTGTTACACAGAGAAACCCTGTCTCAAAAATCCAAAAAAAGAAAAGAAAAAAAGTGTGCCACCATGTCTGGCCACAAGTGTTTTGATGCACTTATGGGTCACGGTATTAAATAAGTCAAGGGGGGAGATATTCTTTGCTCTTATGAAGCTTATGTTTAGGTGGGCAGTTTGCCCTTTTGTTGTGCTTATTTTTTAATTACGTGTAATTGTGTGTATGCGTGTGCATCGGGTATGTGCAAGTGAGTGCAGGTGCCCGTGAGGCTGGAGGCATTGGATCCCTTGGGACTGGAGTCATCGGAGGTTGTCAGGACTGTGGGTGCTCACTGAACCGTCTCTCATGTGTCATTTAAAAGTTATTAATTTTAACTTTGTTATTTGTGTATGTGTGTATGCACATGGGTCTGTGCAGGTGCCACAGCTGACCTTGGAGGTCAAGGACAGCTTGCTGGGATTGGTCACCACCTCCCACGTTGTGGGTCCCAGGCATCAAACTCAGGCCTGTTGGCAAGCAAGAGTCTTTACCCGCTGATAGCTCAGCAGCCTGTTATTGTTTTTAAAATGTATTTATTGTTATTGTACATATAGCAGTATGCGAATGCAGGTGCAGCAATGCCGCCACCACCACCGTGTCCTGTGGAGGTCAGAGGTCAACTTTGCTTCCAGGGACTGAACTGAGGTCAGGCTTCCCGGCAAGCACTTTCCCCTGCTTAGTGAGCTATATAGCTGACCTGCTGTTACTCTTAATTTTGGATTTTTTTTCACTCTGAGATGTTTGGAGGGAAGGAGACAACAAGATCAAGTAACATAATCAAGACTGGCCTTGAACTCCAGAACAAACCTGTTTCTACTTCCAAAGCACTGGGATTAGAGGCCCAAGCCACCATGCCCTGCTTAGGCAGTGCTGAGGACAGAACCCAGGGCTTTGTGCATGCTAGGCAAGCACTCTACCACCTGAATCTACATCACAGTCTGTTGTTTTCCAGAGAGGGTCCCACTTGTCAAGGCTGTCCTGGCTAAGACATCGAGGTCAAGCTTGAACTTCCTGATCCTCCTACCTCCCCGGTTCCAGGTGCCACCGTATGGCACATTTGGGGTTTGGGGCTCTTAACAAGCCAATGAAACAGTTTTTGTGCT